TAAATAATAATATAATAAACAATTATTAATTTATTTAATTAACTTTGTTATTTCTAATTTAATGATAATAAATTATTCTTCTTGAATAATTGGTTGACCTGAATTTTTATCAGGTTAGGTCAAGTTTAGAAGTGCAGACTTTTGATAGCTGTGAAGTTACATCAAACTATTTAAAGTTCTGTCAGTTACGTCAAATTGTCACATGACTTTATAAATGACATTTGACTTAAACTTAATGTAACATTTATTGAGGTAAAATGTGATATGATTCATATTAGTCATATTACTTTATATTTCATATTCTGATCAAAATCTTTAAGAGATTAAAAATTGGGATTTTTTTGTCAGCTTTACGTTAGTTTCAAAGTTTTTCAATATATATGCGATATCTTCAACTAATATAAATGTCTATTTTGATACTCTTACTTTATTAAATTTTAATATCAACCTAACCTAGTATCAGCATCAGCACTAACATCACAACTGCTACATTATCATGAAAAAGAACAAGAAAGGTGACAGAATTTTGATGAAGTTTGAACTTATTTTATTATAGGTGAGAAATTAAATTCAGAACATTATAAAGTAACTTATTACTATTATAATAAAGGTTAAGCAAGAGGCATATCTAGTGTTTTAAAAATCTATCTTACAAATAAATGTTGAGTATATTTGAAGATATTAGTAAATATTAGCATAATAAGCTTGTAGAAAATAATATTACTTATATTAGTATATTTCATACATAGTCAAACATTTGATTAATATTTCAGATTATCTCAACTACTTCCTTCATAAGTTAGTAATCATATTGATCAGTCTCTTTTAAAGGCTTAAATTATGAGTAGTATATCATTTAATATGATTAAAAATCCCTTTATTATAGATTTATTTAAAGAACTTAACCTTACTTATATTCTACTATCACATATAATATTATCTGAAAGATTATTAGATGAAGAAATTATACATATATAAAATAGCATTGATATAGACTTAAAAAATGCTGAGCACTTAATACTAAGTATGGTATCTTTAAATTAATATTTTTCAACTTATATAATTTATATTATTAATATAATTTTTTTTATTATAATATATTAGCTTTAGATAGATAGATCTAAATGAGAGAATCTTTATATAATTATATAGTTATAACTACAGATCGTAAAGAATATTTGGTTTCTTTACGAAACTATTCTTTGGAATTTCATACTAGTGAATTTTTTGCTTCAGAAATTTCTAGTATTATTGAAACAGTTGACACAGAAAAATTTGCCACTATAGTTACAGATTCTGCTGATAATTGTTGAGTAGTAAGGGAAAAAATTGAAAAAAATTATTCACATATCTCAAATATCTGATGCATAGTATACGCAATCAATTTAATAGTGACAGATTTGATTAAACTGAAGAAATTAAAGACTTTATTACTAATTGTGAAAAGATTACAAAGTATTTTAACAAGTCATATCAAAGTTTAGCATTACCTTAACAAGAATTAACTAATATAAAAATAAAATCTGAAGATTTAAAAACTTGATGTCAGATATGTTAGAAATCACTTTATATGACTACTAATTCTATACTACTTGTGCATCTTGTATTTGATTAGATTAGTTATTTTAATAAATTAATAATAATTTATTTTTATTTTTTATATTTATTAATGTTTATAATTTTTTATTAAATAGATTTTATCAGAACATTTTAATACAATTATTAATATAAATATTTATGATCTATTATATAATAAAGATTTTTTTATTACATACCGTCAACTTCGATCAATTTGAGCATCTATAAAAAATTACATTAATATTTTAGAAGCTGATTTAGCCACTTTAGTGGATTATTTTATATATATGATTAGTTGACCATCACAATTTATTGAATTCCTAATTCTAATCCATTTAAATTTTCTGTTATTCAAATTTTTAATCAACGATATATTGAATTTCAATATCTATCATACTTTTTATGTTATTATCTTTATTCATTTTATCATGGTAAGTATTATAATTTATAAATTATATTTATTTTTAAATAATTAATTAATTTTTTTTATTTAGGTTCAGGATTTAAAAATGAAGCATTTAAAGATGCTGCAATAACAACTTTTACTTTTTTAGTAAAATTTGAAACATTTTGAATAAAAATATAAAGAATTAATTTCAGAATTTCAGCGATATTATGCTAAAAAAAAAACCTTATGATTTACCTTATATTCAAAACTTAGATACTCCTATGTTATAGTAGGGATCTATTAAAAGTTAACCACATTATTTACTTGAATTAGCACTTTAGTTTTTTAGTAATTCTCCATTACAGGCTAGTTGTGAAAGAAATTTCTTTACTTTAAAATAGTTTATTAGTGATAGGCGTACATATCTTAATATTATAAGACTTGAAGGAATAACAAAAATAAGATCTTATTATATGACAAATATAAGAAATGAACTTGTTTATTATGGTAAAGAGTTAAAGAAATCAGAATTATGTGAAGCAGTAAATATTTTAATAATAGGTAATATTATATTATTGAATGAAGAAGATGAACAAAATAATAATAATTGTAGATTAATATTGGATAAGGATTTATTAGCAAATACTAATTTGATTTTAGGAGATTTTGTAAATTTATGAGATTCAATTTTCAAGATGAAGAAAATGAATTGCGTGAAAAATTATTAATAGAGAAAATATTAATATAGATTTTGATTCTGTTAATTTAGTTAATAATATTTTAAATATTGAAATAGATTAATATTTTTTTAATAAATAAATAGTAATTTGTAATTATATTAAAATAATTATATCAAGTCACGTTATGTCAATAGTCATGTCATGTTAAATAGTTATATTATGTCAATATTTATGTTAAAAGTCTAATTAATAATAATAATTAAAATCATATTTATTATATTAATAAAGTAGTGTCATAAAAGTTACGTTACTATAATAAAGTCTGCATTTTTAGTCAGGTTAGATTAACCTATTGATTTGATCTAATATCAACCTAAAAATATATTAACCTGACCTGAATTTTCAGATTAGGTCAGGTCAGGTAAACAGGTTGACCTGACCTGATTTAGAACTCTAATCCTTCATATTACAAATATTCATCTTAGCATGAAAAAGAAACAACTTACCAATTTTTTTACTAAATGTAGCTCTATCACTAATGTATAAATATAAACCAATAGCCTTTAATAACATACATATATTACTTATGATAATCTAAAAGCTATTTAATTATTTTATTCTTAATAGTTTCGATATATTTACAATAATTGTGTCAGGGTCTACTCAGCTAATTTAACCTCTAAATAAATTCAACATAACAAATTTTATATAAAGCTTATTAATTTATCTTCTAATATTTTTGCATATAACTTATATGATTACTCTTGCTACTAAAGTGAAAGCTTTATATATTCTATAATCTAATAATTATAAATCACATCCTTTTATCATTCTTTTCTTTATTTTAGAAGTAAATCTAAATAATGCTATTAAACAACTATTTATTTTTAATAATAAAAAACTACAGTAATGCTCACTGACTATTAGTATTATTATAAATGTAACTCATCTAATCACATAGTTATAAAATGCCTTCAAATTGCTTCTTTTAAAAAAAATATATTTGATAAATAATCTAAAACTCTTATTTATAGACTACTTTCAATATAAAGACTTTATAATCATTATAAACTTACTGATTCTAAATTTTTAATCATCAGATTTAATCTTAAACAGAATGATCATATAATTAATTTTTCTTTTGTCAAACCTAACCTCACTAACAATAAAGATAAAGCTAAAGATATCAGTCCCTCTAGTTTATCTATTGATGAATCTCTTTACAATCTAAAGAACAATAATAATGATATAAACGTTAAATAAGTAAAATTTTGTGTATGCTCATGAGAATGCAAAAGTTATAGCTAACCTTAAAACTCATATTGCTAAATTAAAAAAAAGCTCAATTTGCTTTTAACAATCTTATCACTTTCTAATCTTCTCTTATTACTTTTAATAATCCTTCTTTGAAGATTATCTCATCTATTTTTAACTTACAGAAAAGGATTAGAATTACAAACTTATTTTCAAAAGAGGGTAAACAAAAAGATCCTAAATCTATTGATCTTAAAATCTAGAAAGTCAGCAATAAATAAATTAAAATAATTATTAAACATCAAAAACAATTACAAATTATTAATACTTAAATGCAAAAAATGATGGTATAGTTCTACATATCATTTATTTCCTTTTCCAATAATTACCACTTACTTTCCTTTTTTAAATCATAATTAATATGAATGATTATATTATCTTAAACAATATTTCTAATAATAATCATACTAATAATAATAATTTTAATTCAAAAAAGAACACCTCCTATTTTATTTATTATCTATAATATTAATTCTCTTCAATATATGATTAAAAATCAATTTATTAACAATATATTTACAGATTTTAATACTGACTTTATAGGTTTAACTGAAATTTAATATAAATTAGACTAATTCTTTTGTATCTTTCTGATCTAACTTATACTTCTTTTTGAAATAATCATATTAAATCATATACTAATGTTAACATTTTGATCAAAAAATCTTAGGCTATTTATATTTAAAAATCATTTTTAGATAATGATAGATTTATTTACTTGACCTTTACTTAGCAGGTAATATCAAATTTAAATCTTTTGCATTTACTTGCAAGCTTCAATTGAAATTTATATTAAAATTGAATAAATGAAACTCTACAAGAAAATCATCAAAAATATCAAAGACAAAATTAAATCTGATTTTAAAATTTTAGTTTTAGGTAACTTTAATGCAGATTTAGATATATACTGATCATGTATCTAAAATGAACTTTCTCTTTACTGGTGAATGGGTTTCTACTAGTAATTCTTCACTCTAAACTTTTTCAACCTTTATAATGTTTGTTATGATATACCCAACTAACTTATAATTCAAGACTTTATAACTTGAAAATTAACGTTATCTTTGCTTCATCTAATTTCACTTCAGATTTTTTATACTTTTATATGAATATATCTGATCTTTATTCTTTTGATCATAAGATTATCTTTATTACATTTACTGATTTTTATAAATAACAAAATGCTAAA